TTATTATTATTATTATTATTATTATTATTATTATTATTATTATTATTATTATTATGTTTATTATTATTATTATTATTATTATTATTATTATTATTATTATTATGTCAGATTAGTTTAATCATAGTTATCTTAATGTTTTTATATCTAGGTTATGTCAGATTAATTTAGTCTTACTGTTTAATAATTTAGTTGATTTAGGTAAAAATACATCAGAGTAGATCTTGGCTATAAATGGTATCAGAGCCAACTCTGTAGAACTCTGTACAACTCTGTAGAACTCTAAGCAACATAAATCTTTGTTTCTTATTTAAGGAGCATTACAAGTAAATGTTAGTATGTTATAAGGTAGAAACACTACTGATATTTACCATTAGAGAAAGTTGGTCCGAGAGTTGAGGCTTAAGAGCACCCAGTCGAGAGACCGTTAAGGCCAGGAGAGCCGCTAAGGTAAAAAAGACGTAAGAGGTAGCCAGAAAAAGCACTCATCCGCAACCTAATAATGGCAAATTTCATTAGGAATCTATCAAGTAATGCACTACCACAAGCTAGTAATACTCTAAGGATAAAAAACAAAGAAGAAGTTGTAATAGATAATATTGAAAAACAAATCACAAGTTGTAATAGTTTTTAGTTGTCCTACTTCTGTTTTTATTTCATTCACTTCCTTTTTTAATTCAGATATTGTGGGTTCTCTTTGGAGTGTATCTTTTTTATTTATTCTTTTGGGTATTTTAGCAAAATTATAATCTTCTGGGGGTTTCAGTAAAGGAACTGGTTTATTTTTTGCTTTTGTTAATGTGATAAATTGGGTAATAATTTCTCTTTTTTCTTCTGGATGGATGGGATAATAATTTCCCAAGTGGACGGATGAATATACTCAGGCTGTAAAGAAAATAAAAATTAAAGCTAAGGAATTACCTTGTTTAAAATTAGCTAATCCTAATGCTTTTAAAATTATAGAATTTGATGCTTCTTAATTAGGATTAGGAGGTATTTCAAAACAACGAATTCATTCTAATGAACAATTAGTACATTATTTTTTATAAGATTTCTTATCCCTTTTTTCTGAATTATATCTTTTCTTTTTATGAAATTTGTCTTTAGATTTTTCTATATAATATTTAAATTGTTCACAAAAATCTCTTAATTCTTTTTTACCAGTCATCTTCTGTTTATCTAGTTGTTTCTTTAATTTCATATCTGTGCATAAAGCTAATCCTTCTGCACATATTTCTGCAGATAATTCTCCTAATGTATAAACAGAATATGATATTATTCTTCCATTTTTAGTTTTTAACCTAGTTTTTACTTTCTCAGCAAATAAATATGGTAATCCAGCCACATTTTTCTTTCGAATGATCCTGTTGGCTATCCTCTCTACTTAATAGTCTGGAAAAGAAAACATCTTTGTACCATTTATAATGAGATAGGGTTGGACATCACAAATTAGATAATAAATCTTCAGATCTGGCTTCAAGTAAGGTTGTACTCCCCACAAAATGAAGTGTAATGGTATAGATGAGAGTATTGACAGCATCACTTTCAGAATATAGAACATCTTGCTTATTTTCATTTTTAACAGTCCATTGGCAAGTTTTATTTAGAATCTGTTGTTTGGTATTTTCAGGTAAGTGGAAGTCCCACCAACCTCGAAGCCATCCTGTGAAGCCACAGATAATGGCTTTGGCAACTTCCTGATCATAGTTGCCTACCATTTTGCATGCAGATGCATACATGGTCATATGTTTCATGGTGTCTATTACTTGTTGTTCAGACAATCCATCTATATTCCAATTTACTATTGATTTTCCTGAATAAGAAATATTCTGGGCTACTAAATCCTCTTCGAATTGTATATCAACAGGGGTTGGTCTATGATGATAAGGCCTAGCTGTTAATGATTTCCATGATTTTCTATATACTATTCTTTGAATATTATTAGTATCTCGATTATGATTATTTTCCTTAAAAGCTTCTTCCATATTTTCTATTGTGTCAGCAATTATAGGTGTTTCTTCTTGTAAGGTTAATGTAGATGATTCAGGAATTTCTGTAGTAATTTTCTCTTTTCCTTTTTCCTGGATTTTTAGAGTTTTCTCCTGTATTTCTAATTTAGATAATTTTGATATTAATTGGTCCATTAGGGTCTTATTATCTTCTCCAAAATTAAATCTTTCTTTATCAAGTGATGGAGGTGGTTTAAATAAGACATTTTTGGTCTCTTGTATAAGTACAGGTCTTAACATATTTTCAATTCTGGATGTCTGTTTTCCTAAAGATTGCATATATAGATTTGTATAATTATTTTGTTCTGTTACATGTGGGATTAATTCAACTTTATGTACTACTTCTCCTATAGTCATTTTATATGGTGTAGCTTTTGTTTCTAATTTTAATTCTGGATTTGATCCTTTTTTGACAACACTTTTTTCAGGAGGGTGAATACTTGTCATTGTATTTCCATCGGTTGTTTCATATGAAGTATATTGACTTTGTATTGTATTTACTTCAAAATTAGGAATATGAATTTTTCGTTCCTTACATATTTCTCGTAACCATACAAAAAATCTTTTATTATATCTTTATCTTTATCGTGCCTTATTGTATTTTATATGGAATAATTCTACTAATCTAGGTTGAAAGTGGTTTTTATACCAAGTTCTTATTTCCTTATTTTCTTCAGATAAATAATCTTGTTCAATAAATTGTTTACTAAGACTTTCCTCTTTTTGAAGGGTTAAGACTTGAAAATCCATTTCTGAGTCAGTTAAATCTGGTTCAGATTTTTGTACTGACTTATATTGCGGGATGACAATATTTTCTCTTGTCCTATATAAGCTTTCTAATTTTGGGTTTATAGAGGAGGTAGAACTTCTTGGCAATTCTATTATAGGTTTAGTAGATGGTTGTATTTCAGAATCATCTTTACTATTAGTTCCTCTACTGTTGGTAAATTGAATTTCTATTTTACCATTAGGATTTTTTATAATCTCCTCAGGAATATTATGTATGATTGGGGCTTGGTACTGATGGTTTTCATTATATATTGACCATGATTCTGGTAGGGTAATTTCTGACTATTCTATGGTTTTTGGTATGATAGTATTAGATTTCTCAATATTAGTTTGGAAAAATATTGTTTTTCCTCTTGTATCATGTTGTAAAACATTGGGACATAATGTGGTCATGACCCTGTAATATATTCTATAAACGATAGCTATAATTTGGGATCCTGGGATCATATCAAAACCTTGGGTTTTTAGGTTTAAGGTTAATACCTTAAGAATATTGGGATCCTTTAATGATATAGAATAATTAGGGAAGCAGTTAAGTATACTGGACATCTACATATACTAGATTCTACGATACCTAATAAGGAATCACTAAACTTATTATGTCTAGTATCTCTTAAACATACTAGTATTGAATTATTAAGTCCTAACCTGGTTAATGGTTTAATGGCTACCTGTATTAAACCTATATGAAGATAATTGTAACTTTTATCGTTATGGGACTGTATTATTTTACTAGTTAATAACTGAAAGTCTTCCTGGGTACTTGTTACAGACAAAGTTTGTTCTACTGTTTTTATAGCATAACCTACTTTGAAATTAAATGATCATTTTTTATATATATCACTTATAGGGACTCTAGGTATATTCCAGTTTTGTATTTGTTTTTCGATATTATCAATCACTATCTCTTCTTTATTTTTATCCTAAAAGTACTACTACTAAGAGTAATACTTTAGGAGATAGAAACCTAATTAAATTCCTTCCTTAGAGAAAGTTGGACCGAGAGTTGAGGCTAGAAAGCATCCAGTCAAGCCGCTGAGGTCAAGAAGACGTAAGAGATAGCTAAGAGCACTCATCCGCAACCTAATAATGGAGAATATTATTATTATTATTATTATTATTTGTTTGTGTTTTGAGTGGGAAACTACCATTTCACTATTAATGGCCAAATGGAAAATGATATGAAATGGACTTAACAAAAATGTACGGAATGTTATAGCATTCAGTACGTGTGTTCAATCCTTCTGTTCAGGTTGTCCCAGCTTAAATCCCATGACCCATGCTTATTTATGACTTAGACAATGGTGGGTTTTGGTGGGTGTGGACACACCAATTTAAATGAGTCAACCATCCAATAAAATTTTCCATTGTTTCACTAGTTCATCCGAACCACAATAAGGAGAAAATACATTATATTTTAAGGGCACGGTTTCTATGTGGCCAAGCCTGCATATGTAGAAATGCGGGCCTCTTAATAAATATATTTTTGAGATGGATTTTAGGACTTAATTTTTAAAGATATGTAATCTCTAACATGGAGATCATGACTATGAAAAAATAAATAAGTTTTAAACTAGAAATAATAATTCTAGTAAAAAACATTTGGACTGTTAGTTTCTATTGTTTTTAGATGCAACACCTATTTGCATCCATCTTTAAGAT